TGCCTCAGCCTTCTGAGCTGTTGGATTATAGGTGTGTGCCACTCTGCCCAGCTACTTTAGCTACATTCTTATGGACTTTTTTCCCTGGCTTTACTAGAGATCAAACCAAGGGCCTCACAGGCACCAGGCAAGTGCTATAGTACTGAACTACATTCCTTTTAGTATCTTTTAAGTTATATTCTTGTATTGAGATCTCTGAATTGATTGCACTATGGTCAAAGAGTGTTGCCCTGTGGATACCAGTCTTGTACTAGTTACTTACTGCTGCATAAAAACTTATCCCCAAATCTAATGGTCTCTTAATATTCCTTATTAACTTTATCAATTTAAAAAGACGTACAGCTATTTTTTTCCATCATTTTTTGTTATTTTCAACAGAAAGATCAGGGTACTTATTCAGCCAAACCAATACAGATGTAAAATAAGATGTCTCTACTTAACTGAGCCATCAAGATAGAAGGAAGTTATGTCCTCCCAGGTGCAGTGGTACATGCCTGTAATCTCAATGGCTCAGGAGGCTGAGGCAGGAGGATCATAAATTCAAAGCTAACCTCAGCGACTTAGTGAGACTCTGTCTCAAAATAAAAAAATAAAAATTTTTTAAAAAGTTGGGATGGATTGCCTTTTGGCCAAATCTCCTGGAAGCCACAGCAAAAAGGACCCTCTCTGCAGGGCAGACTATGTAATCCCACCGTTCAGCTTTGAAAAAGAAGGAAATCTTATCATCTGTGACAACATGAATGGACAGGGGGCATGGGGCCAGGGTTTGAGGGTGGGCGTTAAGTTGAAAGCCAGGCAGAGAAAGACAAATACTCATGATCTGACTTATATGTCAAATATAAAGAAGTTGGAACTTACAATCAAAGAATGGTATAAAGTTTCAGTTATACAGGATGAGAAAGTTCTACAATTAATACTAATGAATGGTACACTTGGAAACTACTAACAGAGTATATTTTAAATATTCTTACCACCAAAAGAAGCATGTAGGTAAAGATATATTAAAATCTTGATA